TCTTCAATTTGAGTGGTGCCACATCAGCAAATGAAGGTCTCGAAAGCTTTCTCTTTTCCATATGAGTAAGGCTGGGTTTACTCAAATGTTGCAACTCTTTCCCAGTCCTATTTTGAGAGTCTTTTAGCCTAAATGGACTATTCCTAAAGGTGCATGGTAATGTACCAAGCAGTGCTTCTATGCTATTCATACTATAACTCCTCAATCTTTTCCCTGCAAAAGTTTTGCGGTGAAATTTTTCAACTCTCTTATTTCTGTTAAAATTTAGAAGGAAATTGATACTATAAGTACTATGGTTTACAATAAAGTTTTTTTTGTTAAGAATGATCATTTTTATACTTTAATTCTATGTTAATTTATTTTAGGAATATTGGCATAAATTTAACCTAACAACTTACGAAGCTTGGGCCTTTAAACTTGTTTTCCACTACAAGCTAAAGAAGTAAAGGGTTCTCTTTGGTCTCCCTACAACTACTTGTCTTTTTTTTTTTTTAATGCAATTGGTAAATTGTTTTCAAATCTTAGAGGAAACAATTTATAAAATTATAAATTAATAAGAACAAAATCATAAGAAAAAGAAGATATCCATGCAGAGAGCTATAACCCTTTCTAAAATTAGTTTTGGATTTTTTTTGTTGCTTTTTGAGGTTTTATTGTATTGAGGCTAGATGGTAAAAGTTTTTTGATCGGTTTGGCCAGAGTCCTACCAATAATTCAGTCTCCTGCTTCAAGCTCCTGAAATTTCGGGAGGGAGGACTGTAGCAAGACTTTTGGAGAGTAACATTATTGGCAAGACTATGAAGAGCAACACACATTCAGTGTGGTGCAGTCAGCTACCAAGTTGGAGTGGGTCACAGCTGTTTGCTTCCTACTCAGGTCAAAATACCGCAGGCAACAGATTTGGTTACAGTGTACTGCATATGTGGGTGACCCTTATTTATGATGGCAATCACTGAACCTTTCTGAACCAGTTCAAAGTCCTGGTCTTAGACCATTAAAAAAAAAGGATTAACAGGATATATCCCCATGTGTTTTACCTCGTACCTTCCCTTTTAAGCATTGAGTCACTGACACTGTGTGTATACTGAGAGCTAGCCGTAGGATTAACAGGATATATCCCCATGTGTTTTACCTCGTACCTTCCCTTTTAAGCATTGAGTCACTGACACTGTGTGTATACTGAGAGCTAGCCGTACCATGGGCACCATAGTTCTTGATTTGCCTGGGGTCATTGAGCTCAGAGTAGAGGAAATCAGTCTTATGCTTCTCACAAACTTGTTAAACTAAGGTTTTGCGTTGTTGTTGTTTTTCTTTTTGGTCTTGGTAAAGTGTGTAGAGGACTTGAAACAGATTTACTTGAAATGTGAATGTTTAAAAGTTGTCATTACTTCTTGATTCATACAAATCTTCAGTGCTCTCTGCATGGGCAAGCACAGCCTTTCAGCCTCCCTGTAGAGTTGTCCATGAATTCATGTGGTAAATAATTTACCAGGGAGGTTAATTAAAGCCAGTATTAGGTAGTGTTGAAAGCCTACCAAGGTATCCTGTGAGGGGTATTCATCAACCCAGGTACCATTTCTGTGGGAATTTATACTGCCAGTAGAATTGGTTACTCTGTACAGTTTACCAGCCCCTTCCACCAGTAATTGAAACATGAAAAACAAATAGTTAACTCTGTAGTTCTTAAGAAATGAGGAAATTTACAGATCTCTTTAATTTTTTTGGATGCAGTATGATAACTTTCTCAGTTAAGTGTCTAATGAATAACTTTGAAATCATTAGGGCCATTCTGTCACAAATGGGTACACTGTAGTGCCACATGTCTCCCCATTTTAAGGAAATGTAGTTTTTCCCCCTACTCTTGGCCTTTATTTGCAAAAAAATAGCATCTATTATAAACTTTCTTTCTAATTAATAAAGTATTTATGTATAATATTTCATGTACAAATGCCATGGTGTTTTCAAGAGATGAAGTTGACTAGCATTCAGTCAAAAACTTGGTCTGAATGTTACTGTAGATTGAAGCTTTCTTTTCATAGCCTGTTTTCTTTTCAGACGTGTAGCCTGGTTTGATGTTTCTCAAAACAGCTAAGCTACTATCACTATTAAATGCTTAATTCAAAGAACTAGAAGATTTTTCCCTTCTGAAGTTTCATATATCTTTTACCTTTTGATTGATTATTTACAAATAATTGTTTAAATATCACCTATGCTCCATTTATACTGTCTATTTATTAGTTTGTTTATTTTCCATATCTCTTCCCTAAGGTACCGCACTAGAACAGAGCCTGGCACACAATAGATATTAAATAAATATTTGTTGAAAGATTGAATAAACTTTTTTCATTCTCTTACATTCATACTTCAACTTAGAGAGTAAATTAAAATGTAAGATTAGTGTAAGAAACTAAAATGTAAGATTAGTTTAGGAGTCCTGGTGGTACAGTGGTTAAATATTCAGATGCTAATTGAAAGGTTTGAACTCACCAGCTGCTCCATGGGAGAAAGGTGGTGTGGTGAGTCTGCTTCTAGAAAGATTACAGCTTGGAAACTCTTTGGGGCAGTTCTACTCTGTCTTTTATGGTTTCTGTGAGTCTAAATTGACTTGAAAGCAGTGGTATATCATGAACTATACCAATTTTTATTTGTGGTCTCAAATATAAAATATGTAGAAGCTGCTATTTTGTAATCTCTATTCTGAAAGCATTTGATGTCTGAATTGATGGGAAGGACACTGGAACATGTATTTTCCTAGAGGCCCATTAGGGTACAGAAAGCAGACACAGGAACACATACCAATTAGGGAAGGGTCCTGGTAGCCAGGGGCTGTGAAGCTATGCCATGTCTCTTATAGATAACGATGAATTGGAATTTAAAAAAATGCATCTCTGTCTGTGTCATACTGGTTAAAGTGCCCAGTTATGCATTTTCCCCAAAGACCAATTGATTTTCCTCGGAAGTACCCATGCTTTTGAGTAATGTAGTTGATAGATTACTGTTGATGTGAAATTCAAGAATGTCTCAATGACTTGATTCTTCTGAGTGATTCTGTCACAGGCATGATGAAAGTCCAGTGGTCTCTTATGGCAGAGAGTGCTGGTTGTCTATCAGTATCTTTCGTTCACTTGTCCCAAACTATTACTCTGTTTTTAACTGGGCATAAGTTGACCCAGAGTAAAGACTATATTTCTTTACCCTCTTGCCACTAAGTGTCATATGACTGGAACTGACCACTTAGAGATGAGGAGAAGTGATGTGGGGAACTTTGAGATATGTTATTAAAGGGAAGAAGTATGCCCTCACTCCATCCCACTACTTAGAACATGATCAGGATGACAGCCACCTTAGATCATGTAGCTTAGAGTAGAAATGACAGCACAACAAGGAACTTGGTTCCTGCGTGACCTCACAGAGCAGGGAGATTCCCTACTGGCCATTGACTAGCTACTTCCATATGTATATTTTATTAGTGGATAATTTGCAACTTCCAAACTCTTTCCTTAAGCACATAAAAATATTTTTTGCTTTCTCATCTTAACTTTCAAGCATATTTTGAGGTTACGTTTTTACTGGGATCTTTTAACTAATTTACCTCTGGATATAAAAATTTGCTATTGATAATAAAATTAAAGTAATAGTAATGACAAAAATCTTTTCTTGAATTGTGAATATCCTGAAGAAATTATTGCATAAATAGCCCTGATTTATAAGGTAAACAGCAGCTCTTTTGACTATTGAACCCCATGAGAGAAATACTAAAACAGTGGATGATTCCTTTTTTCAACTCTTCTGAGAATCGGATTTTATTTACTAATAACATTAAATCACATATAAAAAAACTCACTGCCGTGGAGTCTGATTTGACTCATAGCGACCCCTTGTTGGGTTTCTGAGGCGGTATCACCACGGAAGTATTTTGCCCACTCTTCCTTCCGAGGAGTGGCTGGTGGGTTTGAACCAGCAGCCTAAAAAAAGTGATTTCTAGCATTCTTTTACTTTTATGGTAAGTATTTCTTTTTTCCAAAGAAACCATCCTGTGTTGTCTTAATGACTATACCATATGTTTTTGTAATGATTTTTTAGACTAGTGTTCCAGTTTTTAAAATTATTATTAGCTCCATTACAGTGTTTAATGGCAGCTTTGTAAGACCCAAATTTTAGTTTTATGAATCTTCTTTATCCTATCTGATTCAGGTTGAATACGAAGGCTTAAAGCATGAGATTAAACGATTTGAGGAGGAAACGGTGCTTCTGAATAGCCAGTTGGAAGATGCCATCCGGTTGAAGGAGATCTCTGAGCACCAGCTGGAAGAAGCCCTTGAGACCTTAAAAAATGAAAGGGAGCAGAAGAACAGCCTGAGGAAGGAGCTTTCCCAGTACATCACCCTCAATGATAACCATATCAGTATCTCAGTTGATGGACTCAAATTTTCAGAGGATGGGAGTGAACCCAACAATGATGACAAAATGAATGGGCACATCCATGGGCCTCTTGTGAAACTGAATGGAGATTATCGGACTCCCACTTTAAGGAAAGGAGAGTCATTGCACCCTGTTTCTGACTTATTCAGTGAGCTGAACATTTCAGAAATACAGAAGCTGAAGCAGCAACTTATGCAGGTAAGAGCTTTGTTCAGGGCTGTTAGAGTGAATTTCTTGTAGTGTGTTGTTGTTGTTGTTATTTGCCATGGAGTCAGACCTGACTCAGCATGACTTCTCCTTGGGTTTCCAAGGCAGTATCCCTACAGAAGTAGATTGCTCAACCTTCCTTCTGAGTAGTGGCTGGTGGGTTTGAACTGCCAGCCTTGTAGTGTGTTGTAGGGATTCCATATTCTTCTATTTTAGTTCCAGATTTTTTTAAAAAATACCACTTCTTTAACTAGCAGCTTTGAAAGTATAATATTTTTAAAAGACATGACAGAAGAGATATTGAACAGAAACCTCTCATTTGCATTGCTGTAAGGAATGAATGTCTTAGAGACATAAATTAAATTACAATCCAATCTGAACGGAGAAATGACAGCCTTTTGATGCTTTTTTGGCTAACAAAAGAATCCAAAGCTTTATATACAAGTTAAATGACTGAATATGCACATTTCTATCATAAACAACTGTATGCATAGCAGCAAGATTAATATACTCCCTCCTCACTTATCTACATGATTAGGTTCCAAAGACCAGGTCATTATGCAGAATTATGAGAAAGAGAATGTGGAGGAGGTCCCAAAGTCAGATGCTCAGAACGGCTTTGCCCTGACATTGCTGTGCTCTGGACCCCAAGATTCTGGCACTGGATCTGGAGCTCAAATACACCTGGGGCCCAGTGGCTGGACTAGAAGGGAGGGTTGGTGGCTCTGGGGCTTGGGCAACTGGTAGGGCCAAGGGTCAAGATGGTCAGTGGGGTTTCTGTCTGTGTCTGTGCTCCCCCATCCCCTACAGCCAGCCATCTGCTGCCACTCAGCAGGATGGGGAGGCACCCACAGAAACCAGTGACATGCTAGTGGTCTCTGAGGGCTTGGAATCCACGGCCTTGAGCCTGGATACTAACAACTGCTCAGAGGAGGAGCTCAGTAGAGGAGGAAGAGGTGCCAGTCTGGCTTCTGGTGCAGCCCCCAGGCCCCACATAGCTGCCAGGAGTACCCGTCCCACTGTAGAACTTGGTCCCTCCTGGGTGCGCATAACTTGATCCCTTCTGGGTGCTTGTGTAGAGGGCAACAGCAGCAGCAACCTTTCCCTACCTCCCTCTGGGTCACTGCAACTACTCAGGAGGCCTTTTCAGAAGGCTTTCTCAAAATCCACCTGAGTTGCGTCTTTCACATGAAGAGCTGCACCCACCAGGTTCGTGCAGTGGGAATGGAACCTGCAAGAGGCCTTCTGGAGAGCCTGCTGCTTCAGCTATGAACCTAACAGGTATCAGGGGCTCTGCACGCCAGGAGCTTGATGTGGGGAGGAAACCCAGGTTCATGCACAAAATAGTTGGATAGTAGATTTTTTACTATTGTGTAAATGTGAAATATTGAATAAAGAGAGAGTCAGTAAATGAGGAGTAGGTGTAGTCACATTTCACTGGAATGCTTCAAGCCTTAGAAGACACAGGAGCTTCCTGTATACAAGCTAAGCCAGGACACCATTATGATTAAAAATAGAGAATACAAGGGATTCTTACCCTAATGTGAGTTAGGCCTTAAATTTTTAGTGATTTCAAATCAAATGTCTTGTGAGGAATCCCAGGATTTAACCATAAGTCATTGCAAAATGGCTTTCTAATTTGAAGTCTTGCCTCCCTACTGTAACTTAAGTGCTAACAGAAATGTTAGGGAAGGCATCACCACTATCACAAATCATCTGGGGGTTTATTAGTAACATAAATTGTTGGGCTCTACACTAGATGTACTGAACCAAGAATCTCTGTTTTAACAAGTGTGTTAGGTGAGTAAGTTTCAGGTTTAATCTTTGTTCTGTTAACTCTCAAGATTCTTCATGTGTAGCTCATAAATAGAGGCTCTTAGACTTTGGCAGTCACTTGTCTTTATGGCAAATATGGCTTATAATTTTCTGTCTCCACAGAAATGATGATTGGAAAATTAGCAGAAATAAATAAGAGGCTAGAGAGACATTGACATGAATTTGTTAATAGGTTTATTTTTAATACTACATCAAGATTTAACCTGCCCAGTGTTTTTGGCTGCTAAAAGAGAATATGTTTTCTGTATGTATAATTTAAATCAAGACAAGAGTGTGTGACTACTGGAAGAAAACAGATATCACGTAGACTTTTACCTGATTGCAAATTTCAGTTCTATATAGGTAATATTCTTCTATGTCATAGGGCCAGATGTGTCTTGAAATTAAGACATTTTCTGAATGTAGAAAGTAATACAGTATGTAACATATAGCATATATATTGTAATATCCCATTGGAATCAGGTGTGGCACCCAGTAATCAAATAATATTAGCATTTTTTGGTGAAACTTGTGAATATTCATACAAAGAGCAGAAAATAAAGACCATAAAGGGCTTCATATCAGTCACATGCAGTTTTGCTGCCTGATGAGTTTAGGGTTGTCTGAATGTTGCTGCCAGTTGAGTTATGATAAGACTTGTTTACAGCTTTTTGGATTTTGAAATTGTGCTGTCATACATGCAGCAATTGCCCTACTTTGGGGCAGCTCTCGATTTTGCAAATCTCAGCTTATAGCATCTGAACACTTTGGATGTGACAGTTTGTGTTTTCATAATTTTCTTGTCTCTTAGGAGTTGGCCAGGACCCAAAAGACTTCATCTAAGAGAAAGCTATTACTGTAAATCCAACACCTGCCTTTAGTTAATACTGATGGTTTGTGTAGATGTAGAGGGGCACAGGCACCAGTACAACATTTTGTACCCAGGAATCAGGCTTCAGATCAGTTCAGCGCAGTTCAGTCATGGCCAATGAAACGGCACTGCAACAAACCTGAATTTTTAAAATGTGGGTAAACCAGAACGCTAACCAGAATGGGAAAAATTACCTGCTGAAACCCTGCTAGAACCCTAATATCCCTCTTAGAAAACAAGGGCAGCATTTGTATTACATAATAACCAAATCTCTTGAACAGCTAAGTCAAAAACACTGGTGCCCGCCTCTAGGGTGGTAGCCATTTCTACCACTTTGACTGTGTGTTGCTCTCCTCAGTCCTGAAAATAATTCAGTATCATCCACCAGGCTCCTAAAAGGGCTTTGACCCATAATTTTTCCTGTTTCAGTTAGTGTTGTGCATCACCCAAATTTTAAAAATCCAGGTCTATTCCGATTTCACTTTATCTGTGGTGACTAAACTGGTTCACAGTGGTTTGAAGCCCTGCAGGGAATATGCAGCTTTTATGGGCTCTTCCTTGTGATTAAGGAACCTTTTGAAAACAACATACAGGCCATAACCTACTGGCCTTTTCTCTGTTAGAAGGCTCTACGCACATGAGTTTTTTTCCCATCTGAGGGTATTTAGCTAGCCTGATTTAAGGAAAAAAAAAAAGAAAAATCTGTATTTCCATCTTGAGTATCAGCAATCTAAATAAGTTGCTTCACTTCTGTGATGTCTGTTCATAAAGAGGAAGGTAATAAATTAGCCCCACAATTAGTGTCTGATGCCTTTGTTGGAATTGGAGGGGGAGCAGTGAGGTGAGGAAGTCTCCTTCCTCCAGATACGATACTGCCATCTGCTGGGAAATATGTAATAATAAATATAAAAATCTACAGCTACTACAATTTAAATAGCACGCCTTGGTGTACAACGTGCACAGTCATATGTTGTAATACCTCCCTTATAGAGGGTTTTGAAGACCAACTGTAATGGTAAATATGAAACGATGTGTCATTATTGTACTAAGAGGAACTCTGGTAGCATAGTGGGTAAGGCATTTGGCTACCAACCAGAAGGTCAGCAGTTCAAACTCACCAGCTGCTCTGTGGGAGGAAGATGAGACAGTCTACTTCTGTAAAGATTTACAACCTTAGAAATCCAATGAGGGTCACTGTGAGTCAGAATTGACTTGATGGCAGTGAGTTTGTTTTTTGGTTTATCACTGTACTGGAAACTGTCATCAATTACTACTTTTACTTTCATTTAATACATAGACCAAGTTGTTGTTGTTGTTGTTATGTGCTGTTGAGTCGGACCCGACTCATAGCGACCCCTCTTTGGGTTTCCCAGGCAGTATCACTACGGAAGTAGATTGCCCCATCTTCCTTCTGAGGAGTGGCTGGTGGGTTTGAACCGACAGCCTTCTGGTTAGCAGCCAAGTGCCTTAGCCACTATGCTACCAGAGCTCCCACATAGACCATAGAAAGAGAAAAAAATCAAGTGATGGTAAGGCTATATCTAAATTTTAAAAACTAGTTACCATTGAGTTGACACTAATTCATGATAACCCCATGTATGTTGGAGCCGAACTGCACTGCACTGTGTTTTCAGTGACTGACTTTTTGCAAGCATATCTCAGGTTTTTTTCCTGCAGTCCCACTGAGTGGGTTCAGATTGCTAACTTTTCAGTTAGTACTCAAGTGCAAACTATTTTCACCACCCAGGGACCTATACCTAAATTGTGGCATGCTTTTTTCCCAGGGCGAATTGGAGTAAATATTTTTTTTAATTATACTTCTTCCTAGATTATAGAATAAATTACAATAATATTTTAAATTTAACCAGTCATGCTAGTTTTTACCTAACACAGAAGCATATGCACACACACACACACACACACAAAGAATTACAGTAAGAGAACATATTTTATTCATTTAAGAATCCTTATAAACTTGACAACAGACTTTGATAGAGAATTACTCAATTAGTGTCATCCTTTATTTACTAAGAGAATGTTCTCATGCCATTATTGGACAAATTATTTCGGCTTTTGGTACCCTTAAAACTTAGTTATTTCAAATAGTTTATACTTTACGATTTCCAATGACAGTCAAGTACTTTAATTATTTTTATTACAATGAAATAAGTAGACCTTATCTGGGAAAACTAACTAAATTTAGTTATAAAGGAGTCCTTTATACTTTTACTAAAATTTCTGCCTTTGATAAATATCTTCTGTTTAACTTCACATCTACATAGAGTAAGCAGGATAAAAGTCTTTG